ATCCTGTTCTCCTGAAAAGCAATTAGGCAAGGAATCAAAACTGGGATAATGGATGGAATTGGAACTGTAAGATTTGTGAAAGCAACAGGTTCAGCTTCAGGGAAAGAGGACGGGTTTGGTGGTGCAAGGAACAGTTCCCATCTCCCCAGCACCGAGAGAAAATACCAGGAGCATGGACACCTTTGAGAAACAGAACAGCTCACAGGGCACAGCCTGTTTCACCAACCTCAGATCATCACAGAAGTATGCAAAAGAAGGGGGGACACTTATGCCAAATTGGTGGTCACTGGAAACAGCCTTTCAGGAGGAGACACACAGCTCCTCCATTTGTACACCAGGGAACTTCAACGTGAGTTGGTCGATCTCAGACCTCAAAGACTACCTGTGATTGGGCAAGAACATAACTCAGTGAAGCAAACTGTTTTCCAAGAGGCTTAACTTCCCTCTAGAAAGACAGAAACCTCCCTCAAGAATATTCAGGGGACTACAAAGCAGAGGGTTAAACCCCACAGATTAAGTAGATGTTAGAATATAAACAGGTCAGCGGTACAGGCAATCCAGACAGACCACAGAGAGATGGACAGCCAGAACAACAGCTGAAGTGTTGGCTCTGCCAAGTGACAAACTCACTTATTCTCAACATCACATCACATATCTGCACTTTTACAGTAACAATCTGGAGCTGCAGAGAGAAACGTGTGTTGTTGCCCACCCAGAAGGGACAAAGCACACAGTCTCACAGTGGAACCTCTCCTGCTCTCACTGGAACTGAGCTGGAGGGACACACACACTGCAGCTCAGTCTCCGAAAGGAAGTTCATCTGGGGGAAAGCAAGGTGAATGGAAAGGGAAAAGAGGCTAACCGAGTTCCTGCTCCAGAACAGGAGCACTTTACTCCAGCTTCACCCTAAAACATGAGGAATAACGCAAGCGAAGCAGGATAAACAGAAGGAGTTAATAAAAAGCTATTCCAGAACACATCCTGGAGACAAGCACAAGGTCTCCAGATTGTGGTCATTACAGAATTCCCCACTCACGTCACCAAGGCTTTCTTTCTATCTGACCTTGGTCTGAGGCTCTGGTAATCTCCACATAGCAATGGTCTTTCTAATGTGTGAAATAACTCTGATTAGGGATTAACAGCAAACCAGTTTGAATCAACCTCACTTCGCCTCTCGATCATGTTGCAAATTGTTTTTCCTTCCCTCTTTCCTCCTCTTCGTTATGAGCAACACAACATTGCTTAATGCAGAAAAGTACCATTTCCTTTCCATAAAAACAGAGAAAACAAGAATCTGCCAAAGTGGGACAGGCAGGTTCTCTTCACCCGGCACGCTCAGGCTGACACAGGGGCCAGCGCTGCCCAGGGTGTATTCGCTTGAGGGCAGAGTGATGAGTGGATGTGGGTTCAAGCTCCTGACCTGACACCCAGCTGCTCAAACTGGCATGTTAGGCAGTTATTTACTTTCCTTTCCCTGGCATCATGCTAACCTGTCTGCTTCCTTTTTGAAGTAAGCGGCCCGGGGGCAGAAACACCTCATCCAAGAACTCTCCAGTGCTCACACAGCTGCAGGGTTTGTTCCCTGCCCCGCTGGATGCACTCTGAAGCAAAGCAATGAGCCCCAGTCACCTCAATCAGGCAGCAGCTCTCCTATTTCACCCTAAACTGTATAAAACCCATGAGCTAGAGTTGGTGCTTTTATTTCCTCTATTGAGGAATGGCTCTTCTGCAGCAGAGACTCAGTAAAGCTTTTACCTCTTTGCTATTCTTCCTGAATTTTCTGCATGGATGGGATACTTCTGAGGTGGGAGAAAGATCCAGAAGGAGCAGCTGCTCATGCAGAGCCACTGCAACTCTCCAACCATCTTCCTCCCCTTTACCACAGGCAGCGTGACCACCTCACAGGAACCTGAGAGGAGAAGGGTACAAACATCTATGCAAGCCATCAAGTGCTCTAGACAAGCACTATTCATCTGTTGGATGAATCAGATTTCAACCGTGTGAGGTATTTCACCGAAGCCAACATGTCCTGTCCTGCCCCTGCCCAGCCACAAGTTCCTGTAGGAACCTGAAGCAAGGAACAGACCCCAAGTCCAACATCCAGGTCCCATCCTTAACCAAACACTGAAGCTTCTCCCCCAGAGATGTTGCTCTAAATGGGATTAAGTCAGATCCTACGTGTGTTTATTTGACTATAACCAGAAAGTAAACCTCTTAAACGGTGTGGACAAAAGCAGGAAATCCCTCCCACTGACTAAACATACAATCAAAGCCTCCAGAAGTTGATTAATTCTAATTTTTCCCATGTACTGGGATGATTGACTTGGAGCTTGCACTGTACCTGTATTGTCTTAAACAACCACTGCAGGTCCTCAGCTCCGCTGATGAGCCAGGTGCTGTAAAAGCACACAGGAGAGAGTCCAGGCTCTCAAACACTTGCCCTGAAAAGGGACCATGCTGACAACAGGACAGGGGGAACAGGTCCAGGTCAAGCAGCAAAACCAGACACAGATCCATGGCCTCCTGACTCCAAGTCCAAGGCCTTGTTCTCCCCAGGACCCGGCTTCAGTGTGCTTGAGCCCAGAAACCCCACCCCGTGTGCTGGGCTGATCCCCAGGTGTGAGCAGCAGCTCAGGGAGGGGATGCTGCCCCTCTGCTGTGCTCTGGAGAGAAACCTCCTGCAGGCCTGATCCAGCTCTGGGGCAGCAGCACAAGAGGGACGTGGAGCTGTTGGAGCGAGTGCAGAGGAGGCCACGGAGCTGCTGCGAGGGCTGGAGCAGCTCTGCTCTGGAGCCAGGCTGAGAGAGCTGGGCTGGGGCAGCCTGGAGAAGAGAAGGCTCCTGAAGGGGAGACCTGAGAGCAGCTCCAGTGCCTGAAGGGGCTGCAGGAAACCTGGAGAGGGGCTTGGGACAAGGGATGCAGGGACAGGCCAAGGGGAATGGCTTTAACCTGCCAGAGGGGAGACTGAGATGAGCTCTTAGGCAGAAGCTCTTCCCTGTGAGGGTGCTGAGGTGCTGGCCCAGGGTGCCCAGAGAAGCTGTGGCTGCCCCATCCCTGGCAGTGTTCAAGGCCAGGTTGGACACAGGGGCTTGGAGCAAGCTGCTCTAGTGGAAGGGGTCCCTGCCCGTGGCAGGGGTTGGAGCTGGAGGAGCTTTAAGGTCCCTTCCCATGAAACCATTCTATGACTGGCCCCAGGTCAGAGCATGAACACACGCTGAGTTGGACTCTCCTGGTTTACCACACCGCACTACGTGTAAAATAGTAGTATTTAGGCACAGAGCTCTGCTGTGCAACCCAGCTAACTTGTGAATCATACCAGTGCTGCTGATTTCTGGCATCAAACTCACAGGACAGCTGCACATTGTCTGGGGAAGATATCAGGCTAAAAATAGATTAGACTTAGATTAAAGCCTTCCCAAGGCAGACTGGTGGACGAAACAGAATGAGCAGACCACAGCTCCACTGCTATTCTTAGATAGACAAAACCAGGCCCTCCTTTTGCTTGCTGAAGTTTTCAATCCCCAGTGTCCCCACGTATTCTGGCCAAAAATTCCCAGCATAAATCCAAGCAAATTTACAGCTTTTCTGACATGTGTTTTGCTTCCCAAGGCATCCTATGTAGAAAAGCTAAAATTGCACAAGAGCGTTTGCCTGTGTCCCTCTTTGTCCCTGGCCTGCCCCATGCTGAGCTTTGGCACTTGGCAAATTTTATGCCCTCAGAAGAGTTCCCTTTGTCAGGGACAGGGAGTGTTTGGTTTGTACCTTGTAACTATCCTGATGCTTTCAGAAGCACATTATTGTCACAAGAAGACCAGTTCCATCAAGAGAGCTCAGAGAATAAGGACTGAAAGACACGGATTAACTGCTGAAGTAAGGCTAAATGATCCCCAGGTGTCAGGGTGATAAACAGTGTCTGCAGGAATGTCCATCATCATCAAGGAACGTGAACAGGAGAAAGCCTGATGCACGCTGTGATTTCAGCTGCAGCTAACTCTGACTCGAGAGCACAGAGAATCCTTGCCTCTTTCAAAAAGCAAAGCCAGTGACTTTAGATTGACCCCCGAGACCTGAGACATTCCTGGTGCCATTTCTCTCTGGCTAAAGGCAACAGCTCCCACCTACCCACCCACTGCTGGCTGCTCCATGCTGTCCAAGCACAGCAAAACTGGAGCTTCACCAGGTACCTCATGGTGTCCAGTGAAAGGATGAGAGGAAATGGACACAGACTGGAATACAGTGAGCCAAAGGAGGCCACACAGATGCTGCAAGCTGTGGCTGCTCCATCCCTGGCAGTGCTCAAGGCCAGGCTGGACAGGGCTTAGAGCAAGCTGCTCTAGTGGAAGGTAGGCAGGCAGTTGGAACTGGATAAGCTTTAAGGTCCTTTCCAACCTGACCCATTCCATGATTCCATGAAATCCCATTTAAATGTAAGGACATGTTATTTTTTACAATGAGGCCAATCACACACTGAGAGGAGCTGTCCAGGGAGGCTGTGGAGTCTCCATCCTTGGCAATACTCAGCACCTGACTGGACAAGCTCCTGAGAAACCTGCTCCAGGTGCTGCCCCTGCTCTAGCAGGTAGGTTGGACATGATGATCCCCAATCATCCCATCTCACCCCTGCGGTGCTGTGAAGGCGGCACAGTGGTTAAACACCCAGCACAGGGCTTGTATCAGTTTCCACTACAGCAATTGCACTGACATCAGTGGAATTAATCCTGATCTTCATCTGTACGTGTGGAGGAGAATCATGCTGCTTCGCATGAAAGCCAACTTACGCAGGTGGAAGAATGAAAGACACTCACTGTGGTGCTTTTGTGGCAACCTGCCACATTTTTGTCCCCAGGAAGCCGTGCCAACACATCACTGCCTACCACTGGTCCTCTTCCTTTTCCATAGCTCACTGTTACAATCTTTGACATTCAAGGGAAGCCTCACAGGCCTGCTCTGCTCCTTACGGATCTCGTAGCATTTAAAGGACCAGAGTAAAAGAGAAATTCATCAAAACTAACTGTTGAAAACCAGCATTTCTCAATCTCTCTCCTCACAATCTCTTCCAGGGCCCTCAATCCCACTGCAAACTGCACATGCCAACTGCCAGATCCCAATCCAGCATGCCTCCCAAAACAGAAGCATTCCCCAGTAGGGTTACAGCATTGTAACTGAGGAGGCGAAAAGCAGCAGACACTCCTCCTGCTTCCTAGGCTGCGACCCAGCTTAGTCCCTCCTGAGATGTTGGATGTGTCCAGCATTCATCAATGCAGATCCCTCCCGAGGCTCTGGTTGCTTGCATGGCCTTAGGAACGCATGTGAAGGCAGCCACGGCTTCCCACGGGTGTCCCTGGGGCAGCTGGTGGGAATGTGAGGCACAAGGGTTACCTCTCCCCGGATGCAGAGGGTGACGGGCCTCACCTCTGCGGGAGGAGATCACCAGGAAAGTGTTTCCTGCACTCTAGACAGGGATAACTCATGCAAGGGATGAATGGCCCCAAGATACAGCTAAGGATCTGACGTGAATTGAGAGAAGCCAGGAATTTCCTGACCTCCCTGTCTCACTCCTCCCAGAATGGCCTGAGCTCACAGGAAGGAGAGAGGGAAGCTCATCTCTGAATCTTGCTCTCTTCATTGTTTTGGGTCTGTGTAGCCTCAGCTGGGTTGGAGGAGAAAATGTTCTGGGAACTTCTCATCAGATAGAGCTCTCTTGATAGGCAGTTACAGATAAACCTTGCTGCTATTTTTTTTTTAGTTTTCTGCAAAAGTTCAAGATAATGACATTGCCACAGAAAAATGCTTTCCTACTGCTCTGCACATGGCAGGCTTCACCCTTCAACTGCTTGCTGTCATGGCAAGTTTAACAGTGGTGTGCCTGGGAAAGATCAGACAACAAAGGTCTTGATCTCCAAGCTGTAACTCTGCAACTGAACCCCTTGTGCTGACCTTCACCTTCAGACGGAAGATGTGCACAACCCAGAAGCTCACCAAAGGCACAAGAATCTCCATCAGGGACACTGATCACTGGCAAACACAACAGATATTACTTGCAGAGTGTCATCCGTGAAGGACTCTGGTCACACTGGCTTCCCTTGCTGCCACAGGCCCTGGGAGAAAGGACGTGGCCAGGTAGCCAAGTCATCTGCATGAAGAGCAGCAGCTGGAGGCCAGACAGGCTCTCCTCTGAGATCTAAACCAACGCTGACTTACAGCAGTTAGGTCTGAATGTCTCCCTAGACATCCGACTTCCAGACAGCTCCAGTTAAGAGCTAATCCTCATGGCAGGAGCAGGCCTACAGCACACAGTGAGTTGCACTGCAGAGATCCCTGAGCTATCACTGCTCCAAAGTGGTATGTCCACACACAATGCCAAGTGTCAACACACTTCCTCATGTCCCACAGCAGTTTAGCAGCATAAGCACAGCCAGTCCAGCAGCACAAGCAGTCTCTGGTGCTAGCTAACGAAGCCAGAAACTTGGGAGGCTGATTTGTACTGTGCTGATATGGCCACACCATTTCCAGCTCTGGTGCAGGCTCAGTCAGGGGCGATTCAGGGCTCCCTGCAGTGAGACTGTGCTCTAAGGACCACCCCAGAACTTCAGCCCACAGCTTCCTGATGGGAGATAAAGTCTGCAGAGGCGTCCACATGGTCAGATTTTACTCATCTTCTGGTTCTGTTTCATTCCAAATTCATTCCACAGCAACATGTTTGCAACATGAAGACAAAGCTGACCAAAATCTATTTGGAGGACAAGAATGTTAAAGGATGTTTAGACACATCCTTTAACACAAGAACGGGATTGTAGAATCACAAAATCACAGCCTGGTTTGTGTTGGAAGGGACCTTACAGCTCATTCAGTTCCAACCCCCTGTCATGGGCAAGGACACCTTCCACTAGAGCAGCTTGCTCCAAGCCCCATCTCTCCATGCCCAGCTCTCTCAGCCTGTCTCCAGAGCAGAGCTGCTCCAGCCCTCTGAACAACTCACAGTTACGCCAAGTTCAGTGCAGGACCCCAATCACATCAGCAGACTTCTATAAGCTGAAACAACGGGCAGCAATTCCCTATTTTCCCCATCTTCTCACAGCTCCTGGGTGCCAGTGGCAAGTAGTAAGATGCACAAGGGTAATGCATGGGCCCAATCCTTGGCTGATGCAATCCAAACTCTCCTGAAGCCAGCAGAGGTGGGCTTATTTACATGCTAGTGTCTAACTCTGGATGATTAATTACAGAGCTGCTGTGCTGGGAAAGGGCAATCTCCCATTTGATCCTAAGCACCATCAATCATGAGACTGCAGATAACAAGCCAGCTGAATGCATGTAAATTTGTCTCCAAGCTGGAAAGCCCTCTGTGGAGACTCTCCATGGCCACTGCTAAAGCCCAGACTGGGCAGGAATAGCTGCTTCTCCTCCAGCAGATCCGCATCCTTTGCCTCTCCCATGTTGATTAGATAAAAATAAGCCTTTAATACTTTCATTCCTGGTTTTCCTGAAGAGCTATAGGTCAGGAAGATAATGACCAAACTCAGTTCCAACAGCACTGCTTTTAGTTTGAATAACCAAGGAATCAGAAGAAAAAAGCAGTTCACTTTGGAAGCAGTAATGGGCTCACTCACATTGACTTGGCAGTGCTGGGGTAAAGGTTGGACTTGGTGATCCTAAAAAAGACCTTAAAGGTCTTTTCCAACCCAGCTGAATCTCTGATTTCCAAAAGTAGCTCCTGCCTGTGGGCACCATTTCTGAACTCAGCGCGTTCAGAATACCAAATCCTTGTACAGACATCACATGCTGGGACACCCCAAATTGGTTTAGTTAGCTCTGAAGATGATGGCCTGAACAGTTAATGGTACAGACAGAACCTCTAAACTCATGTCCCTGGGGTGCTGCTCCATGGACAGCTGAGCAGCTACCACTACATTGCCACCAGAAGGGCAGGACTCCTTCCCAGGCCCTCATTGCCTGTGCCTGTTCCTCTCCATCCAGCCTTTGTCTCTGCCCCACAGTAGTGCTGGGACATGAGCAACCATTTGGTAAGCTAGTCCAAAGGGATCTTATGGTGGAAACCTAACACTCCAAGTCACACACTAGCACCACTAGCGTAAGGGCTCATGTTTGTCCCACCAAAGGGAGCTCTCCATGGCCTGGGCTACCTTGTTTCCCAATGCCCCTAACCCACCAAGCTAATTAAACTCTGAAATCCTGGAGAAAGCAAGTCACTCTGGAGACCTTAAAGCTCTTTAAAGCAGAGAGTTGCTCTGACCACTCTGTGACAGCTGGAGAACACTACTGCTTGACTGCACTGCAGTCTGGAGAGCACCCAGGTGTTTACATTCATACCCTGCTTCTACCCATCTTACCTACACTTGACCCTGTTAGATAATACCTAACCCAGACTTCCCATCCACTCAAGCTTGTCCTCATTTTTAAAGACAAACTTCACTCACCAGTTTGGCTTCCTGATTCAAGTGGAATACACAATGGTCATTTGTTTTAACCACTTCCCTCAGAAAAGAAGGGAAAGTCCCTCTCATGTGGAAAATAGTGTCAAATTTTTCTTCGCACTGGCTTTACGCTGATGATTTTAACCAGTGACTTGACTTGGTTTTTCCTTAGATGGGCTGAAATATTAGCCAACTTCTAAAAATTAGGATCAAGGAACACATTAAAAGCCCTTTGCCATGCAGAATGTACCAGGCAGAGGGCCTGGATTTATTTTTTCTAGAAGTCTTTGGAAGCATACAGTGGGTAAAGTGACTCTTCCAGTTTTCAGCAACTAATGCTGTTTCCACCACCTCCACAAACTCTCACTATTGCTACTGTAGCCTAATGAAATTCACATGCTGCAAGCACAGAGGTGTCTGGTGCTCTGCTTCCAATCGTGACAGACCCAGAAGAATGTCAGAGCATGAATCAGGGGGACAATCATGAGCTCTAAAGAAAAAAGGCTCCTGTTTTCACACAGCCGACAGAATAAACAACGATCAGAAGGAAACTGGAGGATGTGACACCAAACAAAAATGCGGTCAGAGCTTGAAAAATACCAGCCTAGGCATAGAAGTTCATTTCTATGATGTAGAGTCAAGGCAAATACTTCACAGATGCCTTTTGAATGACACGGGAGGTTGTAGTCTCCAGCTCTGTCTGGGTTAGACACCCCGGGATTCTTTTCAACAGAGGCGGGGAAAAATTTAGTAGCGATTTCCTACTCTCATTAACTTACCCTGTAAAGATTCAGCCTCTGCACATTCAAGCTCACATGATGCTCAACTCATTTGAATGGGAGGTGGATCAAGTGGCAAGTGTGGTGCTGTTCACATATTTGCCCTGTCACTGAAAAGCCTCTGCACAAGCCCAGGAACTGGAGCTCTGATTCTGACTCAGGCTTTGGCCAGGGCAGCCTTCAGGATGGGATTGATTTCACACCACTGGACTTATCTAGGATTACATGTCTGGCCTGCCCCTCTTCTTTGGGTTGCCCCAACAACTGCTGAGAAAGAGATCAGCACCTCGAGGGGATAATTCTTCCTATCCTAGAGAGGTAGCCAAAAAGGGAGAGGATCCAGTAAGCACCTGTGACTCACATGGAAAGATAGTCTGGAGGCAGAGAAGGAGAGGTGAAGATCATGTTAGGCAGCAGACAAACACACCTTTCAAACCTAAAATGGGATGGTGATTTCAGAGCTTAATCCAAACACACACACAGGTGAGGAGGGGGGGACACACTGATACCATCAGTCTGTGTGTGTAATTCATAGGTGCCAACTCCAGAGACCAGGACAAAATCCTTGCACTGGATGCAAGAAATAAGCTGACCACAGAGAGTTTCATCCTAAATGCTTCCAGTTCATGCTTCTGTCCTGTGCCCTCATACTTTGTCACCTCTATGTGTTTTCATACTGTACAATAAAGCCACCAATGTCAGTTGAAGCTTGTGCCATCCTCGATGACAGAATGCTCATGACAATGGACTCCACCCTGCCTGGCATATCTCAGAACCACTAAAACCTCCTCACCTGCTGAGATGGCCTTGAGCAAGACATCCTGCCCGTCTCCTTGACTCCAGTCTTCTTCTTCCCACCTACAATCCAAGCATCACACCAAAATTAGCTCCAAAGCTAAAACCTTACGTTCAACTGAAAGAAAGAAAGCACAGAAGCCTGAGTAACCCACAGCAGCAAAATCCCATGGCTGAAATTGTGCAACCTTTGCCATCAGGCACTGCCAACACTGGCAGTTTATTCCTGGAAACAGGGATTTCAGAACTGTGTCACCTGAATGCGCAAGACATCAACCTGCAGCAGCTCCTACCAATACTTTAGCTCCATTTTAACCTGGTTTCTAAGATAACAATGTCTGCGTGTGCTTTATCCATGTGTGTGTATGGGAAAGGAAGGGAGACGTCCCCTGAGTAATAACTATTGACCTTATTACACTGTTTGAATAAAACTTGATGGGGAATAGCAGAGCACCTCAGTTTTATGAAAGCAGACAGCTGTTAGAGGAGAAAGATCCTGTAAATATCCCCAGAGTGGAAAAGCTGACAGTATGAGTTTAGTCCTTATTAGTCATCAGAGAATCTGCAGGAGGAAGACCTGAAAAGGTGACTCCATAGCAGACAAGCTGCTTTATTCCACTGCTTGGGGATCTCAGGAATGCTATTTACCATTTTGTCACTAGATGGTATTGTTCCACAGGCTATATCTGAAAGCCTCAAAGGTCAGATTCAGCATGGTATATCAGGAGCTGGGTTCGTTGGAGTGAGAGAAAAGGCTTTTTTTGTCATGTATTTCCATACATGTTTTCACATATGGAAGCCATCTGCAAAATCAAACTGTAACAGCTAAAGAACAAGAGCTTTGGGGAAAGTAACTCAGCATTGATGAGCTGTGCATCTCCTCCACAGCTGAAAAAACCCTGCTGAGATAAAGAGATGGGTAAAAAATTGACTGTTTCTGTTAACAAACCAAGCATATAAAACAAGCCCTATTTTGTAGTTCAATATGACCCGACACACATTCAAACAGCCTGACAAACTCCGTTCATCCTTTCCAAAGTAAGTGAGAAAGCCTCAGTGTTATGCTAGGACACAGTCACAAGTGCAGGCCCTTCAGTTTTGGAACTGGTGTTTACCTGTATCTTGAAGGTAAGAAGATGCTTCCATTTTCTGTCTGACATTTTTGTCCTCTTCATGCTCACTTGAATCTGCTCTGGCAGGGAGAGGGTGACTCTGTAAAGCAAATGATGGTTTGTCTTAATAGCATAATCTAAAAAAATCCACCCAGCTGGTAAATCCATAAGCCCAGCACTAATGGGGATGAGATCTTCACAGCTCCTCCATGTCCTTCCTTTTCCCAAGCCTACAAGTCTTTCAAGAGAGAAATTTCCTTAGATAAGACAGAATTCCCACCTAAATGGCTTCCTACCTTCAGGAGTTAGCTATGTTGAGCTTCATTCCCTGATACTCACAACCTAATGTCAAGTCAAGGTTCCCTCTTCCATCATTCTGGAGAGCAGCACCATTAGAGGGCCATTCCTTCCAGCCAACCTTAGTGTCTAAGGGCATCACCTGCTAAAGATGCTTCCTCCTCCACTAAGTGCAGAGGGGGCCTAGAGAAATCAGACACAGCACACAACTTTCATCTGAAGGATGTCTGGAGGAACCCCACCTAACTACACAGTGGAATGCGGCTTCATCCTGAGAAACACCAAGTGGAAGTGCACAACTGTTTGCAATGCTTTCCATTTTGGCCATGTCTGTGTCTGAGTGCTCTCCCTGGAGGATGTACCAGCCTCTGGGAGCCAGTGGAACTCTGGAACAAAATGAGAATCACAGATTCATGGAATCAACTGGGTTGGAAAAGCCCTTTAAGCTCATCCAGTCCAACTGTTCCCAGCAGCGCCAAGGCCACCACTGCCCCACGGCACTGAGGCCTCGTCTCCACGGGGTGTGAACACTTGCAGGGCCGGTGACTGCAGCCCTGCCCTGGGCAGCCTGTTCCAATGCCTGAGCACCCTCTGGGGCAGGAATTGTTCCTCAGCTCCATCTAAACCTGCCCTGGGGCAGCTTGAGGCCGTTTCCTCTTGTCCCATCCCTTGTTCCTTGGGAGCAGAGCCCAGCCCCTCCTGGCTCCATCCTCCTCTCAGGCAGTTGTAGGGAGCCATCAGGTCCCCCCTGAGCCTTCTCTTATCCACACTGAACCCCCCAGGTCCCTCAGCCCTTCCCCATCACACTTGGGCTCCAGGCCCTGCACCAGCTCCGCTGCCCTGCTCTGGACCCACAAAATTCACTTGATGTCTGCAGACTCTAAGCTCCAGCATTCAATTCACTGCAGTGCTGCTGCCCAAGACAAGCAGAAACCCTCATGAAACTCAGATTCTGAGAAAATGTGTTTTTTAAGGAGAGTTTTGCTAGATAAACTCTGGTCCTCGTGCCAGAACTGAACAGAGCCATTTCTATACCTTTGTGGTCCCCTCTTCTTCCTCTTCATCACAGTCTAACCCTTGATGGGAGATCTCAGTAGGGCCATTCCTCTCGATCAGGCTGCTCTCAACCTTCCTCATTCTCTTCTTTTCAGTTGTCACTCTCACTTTGATGAGGTGGAAGCCAGTGGAGACTGACCCTACTCTCAGGTTGACAGGATCACCATCGAAAAACAGGTCACCACGGCTGCCCTCCGCCTTAAAGCCAGGGGGCTGGTAATCGTCAGGAGTTACTACACAGGGAGAAAGAACCCACTGATGTCAGAGAAACCAAGTTCTATCTCTCCTTAACCTGATTTATACAGAACAAGTCTATGCCAGCCTCGAGTAACTACATCAGCCACTGAAAATGTCCTGGGGTTCTTTTTTCAGGAAGAAGGGAGAGAATGCGAAGGAAAAAATGAGCTCAGCAAATGCGACCAGGGAGCTCAAAGGTTGACTTTTGGATGCTGAGATACCATTCACATGCTCAGCTTTCTGGAGTAGAATCTGACATGGCCTTGAAACACCAAAACCCACCAGTGAAGGAGCCAAGTGTCTCCTTTTGGCACTACATGGCTGTACTTCTTACATGGATGCTCAAACCTGTCTTAAAAGGCATCTGCCATCCCCACGTGTCAGAAGGATTTACTGTGTTTTATACCATTTCTCACTGCTTTCAGCCAACACCTTTGACCATTTCACCTTTCTATGCTTTATTTACATTACAGGGGCTCATGATTATTATAGGAACTGCTGGACAGGGAATCTCCCCCCCCCCCCCAGCACACATTGTTCTCCACCTACCATCATTGTAGTAGAGGAGTTTCATGGTGAGGGTAACATCACTGGGAAGTGGGCCAAGGTTTTGCATTAGCAGGTAGAGTTTCCGGATCAGGAGCCTGCTGGCCTGTTTAACATCCTCACTGCACGCCCCATCCACAAAGTTCACTTGGTTGCTACAATCAGAAGAAGAATAACAGATTTGTTTTCCCCAGCCATGCATATTCACGACCTAATTACAAATACAGAGCACCCACTGACTTGTCTGAAACCACCAGCCCAAAGCTACAATGCCAGATCAACAGGGAAGTGAAACAGGACAGGGATGAGGTGACAGCTCTCAACTAGGAGGCATGGCATTTACATTTGAACAGACTTTGTAGCTGGGGCAATGGACCCCATTATACAAGTGTCATGACTCACTTGTTTGAGCATGATTAAATTGGATCAAAGGACCATAAAACAAGTGCCTTTCACCTCAGCAATTTCAGGAATGAGAGGAATGAGGTGAGAATCCCATATAAAGCCGATTCATCACAGAGGCTATTCTGCAGCTTGAAGAGAAGTGAATTGCATGTTCTCACTTCAATTCCATGGAAGAAAAACTAGCTCAGAAGCACATTCTTCCAAAGTGACTAAGGGGCATTCCTCTCACCTCCTTCACCCACCCAAATGTCAGCTGGGCAGCCTAAGCAGGCAGTCTAGACTGAGATAACGCCTCACAGGAGTGGGATGAATAGGCCTCTGGAGGAGTTTGTTTCTCCTGACTACAGAGGTAGAGGAGATGAGCAACTTAGATCAGCAGCTGACTTCACACAGTTGAAGATGGACTGGATGAATCACTACGTGACTAAGGAACCTGAACTTCCTTGACTTTCAATGAGAAGGGGCCACAAAAACCCCATAGCTTCTTCATTACATCACTGGAAGCCCACTGGCAGGTGGATGACACTATACACAGGCTGGATGGTCCTTAACACAATCATCCCAAAGTGCTTTAATAGCAATAAGTAACCTAAGAGAGCAGAGAGGACCCCAGGGCTGAATTTGACTGATTAAACATTGGAACAACAGCTTCTTTAAGACTCATTTTTCCTTCCAGTTGAAGTTTCTTGGCTTGTTGTGAAAACAGAGGCTGTTGCTTGACTACCAGGGTACAGTTTGGTAGGCTTCAAACTGCTGGTGGCACAACCCTGTGCTGAGCACGTAGTGCCATTAGATTAATCCTGCATGATCAGGAAGGTACATCAACTGAGAGGACCAACGCTGGCGATGCCCAAGGTGGAGTAAAGAGAAGGCATGGCCTTCCCTCCCACCTCACCTTACAAGTCTTGGGATTAGCAGGAAGGGGAAGGGGAAGGAAATGGGAAGTGGAAGAAGTATATGCAAAAAGAGATGAAACTTCCATAGGAATTAACAGGTCAAGTCCTGGTTCAATACGGGAATAATACTGTGAATTTGATGCAGGAATGTGTTGAAAGGTCCAGAGGAACTGCTCTGAAGGACTGGGGTCCATGGCAAAGAATTCCTCCAAAATCCAGCCAAAATAAGGCAGATACTATTTAGGAGAAAGTTTCCCATTACCCCTCAGATCCGATGATGCAGATCCACAAAACACCTCTCAAGGAATGATTAACTTGGAGTTTGCACATGCCAATAAACACTCCAGGTGTGCCAAAGCAGTGTTATCAGCCAAGGGAGCTGATAGCAAAGATGACACAGTCCTGATCAATGCCAGAAGGTCACTTTATTAATGACTGCAGGTACACGTGTGACCCTGTGACAGCAGTGTCAGTCACTGAGGAAACAACAGAGCCCAGGAATCCCATGCCACAGGCTCTGAAGCCTCAGAGCAGTAATGAGATGTCAACAGAGCAGACAGAAACACAACAGCAGGATTACTCAGCCTCTCCTTGGCCACACCAGGGGATGCTGAGGTCTGTCAGGAGATAGTTATTTCTTTGATCTGAGAAAGGGTGATTAAAAAAATAAAAGTACTCAAGAGCCATCTATTCCATCCAGCTCTGGGGCCCCAACACAAGAGGGATGTGGAGCTGTTGGAGCGAATGCAGGGGAGGCCATGGAGCTGCTGCAAGGGCTGGAGCAGCTCTGCTCTGGAGCCAGGCTGAGAGAGCTGGGCTGGGTCAGCCTGGACAAGAGAAGGCTCCTGAAGGGGAGACCTGAGAGCAGCTCCAGTGCCTGAAGGGGCTGCAGGAAAGCTGGAGAGGGGCTTGGGACAAGGGATGTAGGGACAGGCCAAGGGGAATGGCTTTAACCTGCCAGAGGGGAGACTGAGCTGAGCTCTGAGGCAGAAGCTCTTCCCTGTGAGGGTGCTGAGGCGCTGGCACAGGGTGCCCAGAGAAGCTGTGGCTGCCCCATCCCTGGCAGTGTTCAAGGCCAGGTTGGACACAGGGGCTTGGAGCAAGCTGCTCTAGTGGAAGGGGTCCCTGCCTGTGGCAGGGGTTGGAGCTGGAGGAGCTGCAAGGTCCCTTCCAACCCAAATCAGGATGGGATTCTATGATTATCTTTCAAATCCCAAAGGTCTCCTCATTCCCTCAGTGTAGGGAGGACAACTGACAGCAGCTTCAAAGCAGAAGCAGAGGGTACAGTCCACAGGACACTCCAGACTCAGACACAGTTCAGATTTTCCCAACAGATTTTCATTGTGCCACATACTATGGATTATTTGGATGTGTTTAGAGAAAGAGCAGCAAATGGCACACAACTGGAGCATTGTGGAGGAGCTTCCCGAGGAGCACACAAGGCAGCAGAGCTCTCCTGCTGCACAGGCAGCTTCCAAGGCCCAAAGCTCCATCTTTCAATAGCAATTGCAGACGCAAACTCAAAAAGGGTTAATTCTTTTTCTTTGCTTGGTTACAGCCAACGGCCTCTGACAGCATTTATTTGCAGCTACACAGATTACGGCCTACTAAGCACAGCTTTAAAATACCTAACAGACAGAGAGAGCCCAAAAGATGCAAAACCCTGCTGCTTCCTGCCGCACAGTTTGCAGCATCGAGTGAAAGTTCTCTCAGGTCACCCACGCAAGACTGCTCAAGCAGGAGACACATAGGCAAATGCCCAAGGAAAAGCAGTCCTAGGTGCAGGGTCATAGTGAAAGGGAGCAAACCTGGAGAAGCTTCATTTGAACGCACCAGGCTGCCTGGTGGAAGTGGCAGAACACTTGTTGAGGCAGCAGCAAGCTCAACAACTGAGCTGGTTTCTGCATCACTTCCCTGATGAGGCACCAGTTCTATCAGTTGTCCTTAATTCAGTTCTGGGGCGCTACGCTGCAGTGTTTCTGCTCATCAGCTCAGCAGTTCATACCCTGTAGGGTGAACCCCCTCTGATGGTATTTACAGCTGCTCAGCCACTCAGACATGCTCTCATCATAAAGTTCAGTTTCTTCCTTGTGCTTCAAGAGCACAGTTTTATTCCTGAGAAATAAACCCAAAGCATTACCTGATGATGTCCATCTGGGGCACTTCCTTTTTGTACTTGAATTTGAACTGGTACAGTTCAGTCACTGTCTACAGATATAGCAAAAGAGGGGAAAAGAAAATATAGGTCATCTCTTACTGTAGGAAGTATAAAGATGTGGCCTAACCTTAGCAGTGAACTGTGACAGCTTCAGGCCAGAGCACACCATTAACTAAGTGATGTGATGACAGCACTAACTCTATTATTCCCCGCAGAGGCTTTGGCAGATTTTCTTAGCAGCCACTTCTTACCTAGTACTGAAAAAGTCACCCCAAACTGACAAACTTCCTGCCTCCTCTTTCCACTTCCTCTGTGGCCTGACTCCCCAGCTGAAATCTCTAACCAGCCCCCGGGGCAGCCAACCATCACCACATCCCTCCATCCCCCCCTCAGTAAAGGAGGATCGTGAGCTCCGTGGGTAATGCAGTGTCACAAGGAAGCCTGGCCCAGGGAGACAAGGGCCTGAAGGATTCTTCCAACTGGGAAATACAAACAATATTGAATGGGCAAAAGTTGCTGAATTTCCCTGGTCTTTCTGAGGGAGATAAAAAAAACCCTTGATGATTTTCCAGTTAAAAGGAAATGGTTCATTCTGATTTTAGAGAATAATGAGGAAGAACAGACAGCTTCACCACAAGAGAAATGGTCTATTGTAGTCCAATTCCATGCCTATAATCCACTTTTTCCACAGGCAGTGAGGTCAATTTGTAGGAGCTCAGCTGAGCCCTTAACTCTGAGCCTTCCTTACAAATCCAGCCTTGGGACAGACTAAACTCTTGCTCCCTCCCCACATGCTGAGGTGGGATACAGCAGAACTGTCCTCAGGGGAGCAAAGATTCTGCTGCTCCTCTCTGCAGTGCTGTGGAGATCACACTGCCCAGTTCCTGCACCAGCCAGATGTGGATAAAATGGAACCACTACAGGGAGCACTGAAAGGACAAGGACAGGCACCACCAACAGATGCAGCCCAGGTCTGAAGTGATGCAGAACTTCTGTCCTAAACCCCTCTCCATGAAAACCAGCTGTCTTTTCAGCACTGCTCTTAAAAGGATGGTTCAGAAAACAACTATTTGGAACTTCCCATTTCTTCTCCTCTTTGGGAAAGAAAACCAAACCTGGGAACATGCCCATTAGCTGCCTGTTAACATCCCTGCCTGAGGCCCAGATGGCCCACAGCCTCGTGCCCAGTAGGAGTGTTTGATCACGGTCCAGCTCACTGAGCTGTTGCTCTGCAGTGAAGGCAGAAGAAGAGAAACGGGGTCACCAGGCAGCTATGGCAGGGTAGAACTGAGGCCTACAAGGCCACTCTGAATACAAATCTACTCACCCATGCCTTCAGTTGCCTCAAAGATTAATTAAGACTCTTTCTTACCTCCGGTTCCTTGGGATTGGTGTAAATCTGTGGAAGAAAGCACAGTGAGGGCATTCTCCCCTCGGATAACTTGACCCAGTGCAAATTGCCTAAACAATGATATTTTTCATTTTACAGCAGAGATTGCACTATCTTCAGCGTGGGATCAGGGAAAGGAATGGCTGAGCAACAGCCTCCCTCTATCAGCAGCCAACACTTACCACTTCAAAGACAGGTAGAAGACAGTCATCTATGCAATTGTGGAGGAATGAGGTGAATTCCCATTCCAACCCTCACAGGCAACTCTTGATGCCCGAGATGGAACTACTCAGATTATGCATGGAAAAGGTGCATAGCACAGCTCCTGGGGCTTTACCAAGGGCAAAAGACTCACTACAAAACCACCAACAGCGTGTGCGTGGTTTCTTGGGGATCAGATTAATAAGGAGGACTCTTCTGCAGGGGGGAATGGAGAGGACACAGCAGCTCCCAAGGCTGGAGGCAAGAGTTTAAAGGAAGCGGTGATATGAAGCACATGGAAGTGCTTCTAGGAGTTTAAGGATGCATGTAAGGCCTCAGTCAGGAGTATGACATACTGAGAAAGATGTTCCCATGCAGCCTGGGAATTCATATTTACTGTGTTCCAGACAGGTCAATGCTCTGTTACAAACCACATACATGCTGACTGCCCCTTAAAAAAGGCACAAGTGGGTTGACACAACCTTGACTCCATATCTCTTACAAGCAGAGGGGAGAAGAAAACAAGTTTACTTACTGCGAGGACAGCAATGTGCAACTAAGGAGGGAAAAACAGAACAAAGAATCAAAACCTAAACTTAGTGGGCAAGGAAAAGAAAGGTAAAATCTAAGTGTCTGCAGACAGAGAGGGAAGAGATACATTCAACAAAGTGGGAGTTAGAAGACAGATTCTCCACAGCACAGCATCAGCAACACCTAGTGGCCAGTCTGCTTTGGCTTTACTTGCCATTTCCCGAGGAAACAACTGCAGGCTCCAGACTTCCCCCTGGGACTCCTTTGAAACATGTCTCCAAAGGCCACACCGATTTGAAACTCTCTTACAAGAGCGTCTGTCCTACTGAAGAGTAATATTTGCTCTCTGCTATGAAACTTCCCAAAGGTATTTGGTGAATCCTACAGCAAGGAAATGCAGTACTCTTGAAAACAATCTTACAACATGCATTAAGCAGCTCCATTTTTCTCCTTAATCCTTGTCAAATAACAATTAATTTGTGTCTCAGAAATAGCAGAGGACTAAATATCCCCAGGAGCTGTCAGGAAGTAATAAACTGAGTTCACAACATGTTGAATTATCTTATGCATGTTGACACTTGTACTGATGTGCAAGAGCCCATCTGATCATCAGTGCCAAAACCAACACCACTTCAGCTCATCGAGATGAGAGGTGGTTTGATGAGCGGTGCTGACAGAGATGACAACAGTTGGTGCTTTTTCCTGTGCAGAGCATTTTTTATGTGAGAATCAGCAAGGAATATGATGATTTAGTGGCTGGTTTTGCCCTGGAACCAGTTACATACTTGACTTGATGAATTACTTTCCAAAAACAGTAATGAATTCTGAACCCAACAGAAAAGCCAGGAGGGTTAGAGAAGATGAGAAGAAGGGAAAAGACTTGGGGAAAGGAAATGAAGGAAGGCAGAAGCACACAATAACCTCTCTCAAGAAAACAGGCATGGAGATCTCAGTTCTGACAGGCAGTGTCTCTACCCATGCATTACAGAATGCAAATGTAGAACACAGAACTAAGGGAAATCCATTTCAGGCTACAAATGAGTTCACACACCACAGACAAGCCTAGGGAGCAGCAGCACTCAGTACTTGGACTCAAGGAATAAAATCCCAAACCTTACATGTACACACTCAGGGCAGGGCCTCCCCCCTGCCCCGTCCCACAGCTGTAAAGGAATGTTGTGTCCATGCAAGATCATTACAAAACTATAAAGCGTGAATGGAAAGAAAGCTTAGAGCAGAATTCATGAAGAAATAGGAAAATCCCATTTAAAAATGGGAAGAAAACTTACATATTGCCTCTCCAAAGCATCAAAACAGCCTTGGATCCTGCCAGGGAAGAAACACATTAACATTAACCAGCAAAATAGACAGCTCCTGATCTGTAAACACACACTCATTAAACACAGTTTAAAGTGCTTTTTGTTTTCTGGAATTAGGACAAGACAGTAACATTTTGGGCCTGTAAAGTCCTTTTCAAGTCAATCATGCTAAAGGCACTGTCCTCCCTCCTGCATCTGTGCATTGTCACACTTCAGGACAGTATCCTGTCAGCTTGGAGGCCACTTACATCCCAGCAAAGACAAGGGTTGGAAGGGTAAGGCTGGTGCTAGTGGCCCTATGCTCAGTGCTCTAGTCCAGCTCCCAGCCTGACCTCTGATGGCTCTTTTCCCATCAGCCTTGTACAGAGCTTGGCTGGAACCCCCATCTGAACACAGCCTGACACGTCTGTTCTTGTAAAGCCCTGCTATCTGATGCATAGCTTACAGCTATGGATTCTCTCAAAGTAGTAAATATCGTTTGAGCTGGCAATGGTGAGATATTTACTCTCTGAGTCAAAGGATGTGCAGCTAGGTGTCTCCTTAGCACGTCAAAGTCAGACTCTGCTTGTTGGGAACATGCCAACTCTGAAATAGAATCACAGACTGCTTTGGGTTGGAAGGGACATTAAAGCTCATCCAGTTCCACCCCCCTGCCACAGGCAGGGACACGAGCTATAGGGCACTTAGACACACAATATCCAGGGAGATATAATACTGTACATATTAAAACCCAAGCTATAAGAATCCCTGTGTAAGTGAAGCTAGAAAAGACTAAACCAAACAGACTCAACCTCATGATTTTTGTCACCCTCTCTCAGTGCTTACACTGCCCACGTGTGCTCTGGGGCCTGACCACACTGACTACAGCCAACACCTCAACAGACCTTGAACTCACATGGTCTCGGGCAGCTAATTCTGGCTTAAGCACACAGGCTGCACACTGGGAGTTGCAGCACTGGCAGAGTCAGTAGTGCTGCTGGGCTCAGGGCTTTCAAATTCAGGAAGAAGAAGACCACGAGGGCTTGAGGTCTTGCTATTCAGCACAACCTTGTCTTGGTTTCGCTGTTACTCACTCACCACTTGACTATCTGCAGTGATCCCAAACAGCTTTTATCTTCTCGCAGAATTTTTAGACAGAGGTCTGCAAAACCAGATTTAGCACATAGTTACAGTCCTTATCACAGCTCTGGGGCAAACAACACTGAACCAAAGGCAGTCATCCTCCCTTTTTTGGATAAAACGCTTTATCTAGAGGTCCTTCCGGAGCACAAACGTTGGTTTGCCACTAAGTCCCAGGTGGGCAGGCACATGCTTATTGCTGCATTTTCAAGTGTGAAAACTTTCCTCAGATGCTCTGGGCTCTCCCACAGCTACAGCTTCATTTCAGAGCCCCAGCAGCTTCTAAATCTTCTCCCTCCTCTTCTCCACTCCCACCTATTCTGCCATTCCCTACCAACACCTTCATGTCTGCGTTTGGCCTTCACCAACATCCGTACGAGGTGGAGGACTGTGCTCAGAATAAACTGCTTCTTGTTAAGCCTTTCCACACAGCTCCTTCCACCTCTGTTTTCAAGCATTTGGAATGGCCAGAAGAAAGACATCCTACCACTGAAGAGGTGAATTAACATCTTTGGGTTCAGCCAAGGAGCCCTCAGAGGCAGGAGCAGGCCAAGTGTTCACATCCTTGATCAAAAAGGCACTTGAAAGACCTGACATCCCATGACAAAGACTAGTAGCTTTCCAGGGTTAAGTGATCAAAAGCCAATCTGGGATTTCCTGTGCCCTCAACTAAGTCCACCAAGTGCAGGTGACCATGTTTCAGGCCATCTAACTCCATAAGGGAATTGACTGGAATGCAGTGAGAGATTTCACACCCTACTACCACATCTCGAATGAGCACGAGGATGTTGATGAATCAAAGCATCACTAATTCCTGTGATCCTATGACAAGACTTTGGTTCTTAAGGTTCTTTTTGTTTTCTTAAAGCTCTGATTCCCAAAGCACGTGTGATTATGTGAGACAGCTTTAGCAGGAGAAGAATAAACCCCATCACAATAAAACAAACAAGTGTACTTCCAGTCTCTCAAGGAAAGCTGCAAATAGGAACCTGAAAGGCTCAATAATCCAAAGGGAAATAAACCACACCAATCAGAGTTAATTTTTAAAAACTGACTGCTTTTAAAGTGACTCCTGACTCTGAGACCTGATTCATGGGGCTGGCAATGCTGAGGGGTTATTACAAACCAAATAAAACACTAACAGAAGAACCAGCACCTGCCAACAGCCCTTGGTTGTCTTCTACACTGCCTATCTGATACAGAAGCGCTGTCTGCACCCAGACCTGAGGAGGCCGGGTTGCTGACTTCCTACTAAACTGAACTCCTACACCTCTGAGCAGCTGGAAGCTTACATGTAGAGCAGATTACAGCTAAAACACAGCAAGCAGAAATAAGAATTCAGCACCAAATGAATGTGTTACCATCCAAGTATCGAGTTCCGTACGAGCTCTCCGGGAAGAGCCCTCTCATGTAGGTTATACAGGACACAGAGATGGCCAGGAGCCTCTTCACCAGCACCACCGACTGCTGCTCAGTAGCAATTTTGTTGGGGAACAATACTGATTCCTGAAAAGGAGAAGGGCAAAGCCCAAACCAGAACCATTTTAGTGTAACGCAGGGATTATCTTTAGAAACAAACTTTTGGCAGGAGGAAAACCAGGGTGACTTGGAAACGTAATGTTCACATTTCTCTGGTCTTCAAACTACAGAGGGAAGGCTCCTGTCTAAGATGGGTGGGATGAGGAATTTTAAAGATAATTATCTACAGATCTGACATGATTTATTCAGGTGCAGACTGCACTGGTGGGTCATTCCCTCCCCTTTTATCACAGCTGACCCTTCCCACCCCCTCACTGCACCAATCCTGGCACTGAAGAGACAACCGCCCCTAGAGACACCAGTGTGCAGTTTTCTGGCAGCCCAGCTCCCCCGAGTTCATTCTGGAGCCAAACAAGTGCTCGTGATGGTGTGGCACGCACTGCCGTGCCCAAGTTCACTGCCTGCCACAGCTCCTCCTGAGACCTGGCAGCAAGCAGAGCCTGTCAGCACTGGAGGCAGACCCAGTTTTCAGAGCGATTTTAGCTCAGAGCTATAAACAGAACATGTCTGGGACTGGAGCTGGTGTAAATACCAAACACTGTGTGACTTCAGCATGAACAATCTCAGTGGAAAGTATACTCAATTTAGTTCCTCTGGGAGTTTGTTACTGTTCTTCCTGCTGATAAAGCTCTGTGCACACCTCAGGAGCCCACATTTCTTCAGGCAAATACATGTCAAAGTCCCATGCTGGATCTTTCGGGACGCACTAAACTGGAAATAATCCAACCAAGAACAGGGCAGGCAACAGGAAGTGTTCACCACCTCACCAGGCACAGACACGCCAGGTCCAAAACAGAGAGCTGAGGTTGTCAGGACCATCACATTTCAAGGTTTTTACCTTAGAGGACTTCTTTTGCCTAGTCTGTAACAGCTGATGAGTAGCCATTCTGTATTTCAAAGACCTGCCTTCCACTTGTACTTAAAACCTGAAAGAAAGAGAAAATAGGAGATACCTGGAAAATACAGTCATTGCTATATTCCTCAAAATAAATGAGATTCTTGAGCTTATTCAGGTCTCAAAGCTAATTGTCAGCCAGGACAGGTAAAGCAAAACCAACCAAGGATACAGCACAGCACAGCACTGTCTGAGAGGCTGCAGAGCAAGAAAACTCCCTATTTACAACTAAAGGATCAATAGTAGTTGAAATTCAGGCCCACGACTGTCAGCTGGTGCACTTCAAAACGCATTCCTCATCTTCCAAACCACAAACGTTAATTCCTACAACCATTAAGTAGTGTGAAGGGTGAACGTGAAAGAACTGGAAGCCTGCCAAGAGAAGCCAACATTTTAGCAAGGGTAAGCAGGAAACGCACGAACATCAATCGGGGCTGGAATAAAGGAAGGATGCTTCTGGGACACCTTGAAGGGGAAAAGAGAAACACAAAGAGAAGAAAGCCCACATTGTTTCAATGAGAGTGGGCCCTGGTAAGACAAGCCTGGATTAAAGAGGAAAACGCTCTTTCCACAAGGATGGAAAGCAGGTTGACTAAGGCAGTAACATGGCCATTAGACGCTGAGCACCCCGGTGAGGTGCTTGACATTGCACCAGCTGATAGATTGATTAAAAACTTCCATGGACATTGCTAAACCTGTGCTAACCAGGGCAGGGGGAACAGCTTGTGGGGAGATCCCAACACACAGCTGCTAATGGGGACATGCAGTGAAAGGGGATGCCACAAGCAGGGGTGTCGCCTGGTCCACATTTCTCCTAACAATGAAAAGAACAGCACAAACAGGGCGGGTTGATTGAAACCCTGACCCACGGCAGCGTCTTGCTCTGCATTTGTACCTCCTCAGCTTTTTTCCATGCCAGGCTCATCTCCATTTGTTGGCAGTCATTAAGACATGTTGATTGGAACATGTTGACGGCTTTCATGCTAAATTTAGCCCTTCATTTAGTGAGGAGGAGAGAGCTGCAGCTACCGAAGTACATCCCAACAAACACACACCTGCAAAGTGCCGCATATGTTAAAGATCGGAGGGAAGGAGTCTTTGTTTTCTACTCGTGATTGGCTGAGCACTGGGAACAGGACTGGAATGTATCAACAGCAGACAAAGGCACTATTCCAACGTGAGGTTAGTCCCTAAATAAAGGTTATTTAAGTGAGGCAGATAAGAAAACGTGTTCCCAACAAGCTACCACGCTCAGGATTGATTTATTGTGCCAAGGGAACGTCACCTGCACTGAGCTTATCTGCTCCAGCCAGGCTCTCTCGGCACAGGGAATCCTCCAAGGCTCCAGCGGCACCGTCTCACCTTGACCAAACCTTGCTTGCTCCTGGGCTGTGGGAGGAAAGAGGTGCCCTGGTTCCCCACAGCCAGCGCTCATCGATGAGGGTCAGGAAATACGAGTGAAGGGGGAGAAACTGAACCTCTTCCCTGCACCCCAAAAACCCCATTCCCTGGGAACCCCTCAGCCCTGCACCCGCACAGGGGCTGCCCCTGGTCACCATGAACCATGGAGTGCTTTGGGTTGGAAGGGACCTTAAAGCTCCTCCAGCTCCAACTCCAACCCCTTCCACTAGAGCAGCTTGCTCCAAGCCCCTGTGTCCAACCTGGCCTTGAACACTGCCAGGGATGGGGCAGCCACAGCTTCTCTGGGCACCCTGTGCCAGCGCCTCAGCACCCTCACACCTGAGGCGCGAGGAGGCTGCAGGAGGCCCCGAAACAGCCGCCACGGCCCCAAAGGCCCCTTTAAAACCCTCCTGGTCTCTTTGTTCAGTGCAGGCCCAAGCCCCCCCCGCGGCCTGCACCGGGAGCAGGGCCGGAGCCGACCCCAGTCCCTCACCCACCGCCCCCTGACTCCCGGGGCCTCCCCGCGCTCAGCCCGGGCGGTCCCGAGGCCCTGAGCCCGGCCCCGTCCCCTCCCCTCGCCTCGCCTCGCCTCGGAACCGCGCGGCGCTGAGGGCGGAACCGGCGGCGGGAGCGGGAGGCGAGGCCCGGCCCTGCCCGTGCGGCGCGGGTCGAGGTTGGGGTTGGGGTTGGGGTTGGGGCTGGAGGAGCTTTACGGCCCCTTGAGCCCAGCCCGGGCTGGGGTTCGGCGTCACCCCGTTAGGAGCAGGTTTTAAAGCACTCAAAGGCAGAAGCCACGTTCGTGGGAGGTTCTGGTACTGCTGCGGGGCGAGAGAGGCCCCCGAGGGCATCCCAAGCCGAAGTGACGGCAGCAGGGACTTCATCAGGAGCTGCTTTGGCTGCCCCAGAGCTTTTTAAGCACCGGTCCATTGTCATAATAACCAAGAGCTTCTGCCTCAGAGCTCAGCTCAGCCTCCCCTCGGGCAGGTTAAAGCCATTCCCCTTGGCCTGTCCCTGCAGACCCTCGCCCGAAGCCCCTCTCCATGTTTGCTGTGGTCCCACTCGCCGCGTTCTCACCAGCACCCTGTGTGCAGAATAACCTGGCTCACCCATCCTGCCCCGCGTCCAGGTATTCCGTTATCCTCCGCGTGAGGAAATGGGGATTGTTCCTCTCATCTCTACCCCGCTGCCATCCCAAGCAATGCGGGGGGATGCTGGCGGGAGCACCCCCTGCCCAGTTCCCCCCTGGAATGCCGGTGATGGTTTGCCCAGCTGGCAGGGGAGGACACGGCGTTTCCCAGCCCGTTTCTGATGTCTTTCCAAGGACCTTTTCCCCAGCTCCATTGGGAACAGCTGCAGGAAAGCTCCTCCCCGAGGGAGGGGAGAAGTCACCATCGCTGCTCAGGAGCAAAGCAGCAGTGGTGCTGCTGGCCCAAGAGGAAGGGGCTGGAGGCGATGGCCATGGCTTTGCAGGGTCGTGTTCACCTCCCACCTACCCTGGTGGGGATCCGGGGCTCCGTGGCCGCCGGGTCGCATCCTGCCTCGTGCCTGGGAGCGGTGCCAAGCACCGAGTGGCGGAGGAGTCAGCAGGAGCGCGGGGCAGGGGCAGCACGTCGGTGTGCGGGGGGAACGCGGGGCGGGAGGCCTGGACGTGCCCCTCGCAAGGAGAGGAATGGAGACCCTGCTCCGTGAGCAGCCCGAGACTGGCAACCAGTGTCTGGAAGGCGCTTCGCTGCGGAGCTACCTGCAGGCACACCTCCCTGCCAAGGGCTGCAGCGCGCCGTTGCGGGTCCGCCTGTGCGCAGCCCGGGCCGCCGGCTGAGGCTGTGAACTGGACGTGTCTCTTGGCCCTGTTGTGCCTTCCAGCATGGAGCTGGGGGGAATTCATCAGCCTTCTCTAAAGCTTGTTCTCTTTGACTCAGTAAAGGGGTGAAAAGTGCTGCCAGGACGTGAACAGAAGGGGCTGAGGGGGGTCCTGGCTGCTGCAATATGAGTGTTGCTTTGGGAGCGTCATTTGTTGCCTGATGGTCCAGAGAAAGACATTTCAGAACAACAAGGGAAAAGGCTGCCCTGCTCCCAAACTCTGCTGTGCTCTTCCTCTCCTCTCCCACAGCGAAGAGGGGCTTTTAAGGACGTTTCTTCCCAAAGGAACAGGGCTCTTCTCAGCTGAGTGTTCAAGAGGCTGCAGAGGCCGTTGGGGTTTGCTTGTTCTCAGCACAGGTCATTGGCTTTTCAGGGCTGATTTTCCTTCATGGAAGGCTCTTTACTTACTGCAGGGGTGGGGAGAGGTGGGTGAGACCCCGCGCTGTGGGTCTGTGCTCCGTGGGGTCCCGGCATACAGGAACCCCTGGGAGAAGGCAGCTCATGTCAGTGGCTGTGCTCTGCTGTCTCAGAGCAGTGTGACCTCCCTCCATGATTTACACCAGCAGAAGCAGTACAATGACCTGTAAGGCAGAACCTGCCTTTCAGCGATGCTCTCCCTGCCACTGCTTGCTCTCCTGGTCTGTGTGGCCCTGCAGAGTGTGGTGGCAGTGCTGGGAGCTTGTTTTTGTCGCAACCATCTCAAAAGAGGCGTGAGGCCTCCCTAAGCACCGCTGTGGCCTTCTTGCTGGAAGAGAAAACCAGAAAGGAGGATGCCTTTGGGCAACCGTGAAGATCTTGCTCCGTCTCTGCACCTTTGGAAGAAGCACGATTCACATCTCCCAAAGAATAAAAGGGTCAGAGCTGTCTTTCACCGGGAGCAAGAGGTGCTCTTAGCTCCTTCCCCAAAGAGACAAAAGCAGTGCAAAATCCACCTGGGAACCAGCAGCACTTCCCTTCGTTCCTGTGCTCGGTCCCAGCGGGGCAGTGTTGCCTCACTGCTGAAAGTGTTGCCTCACTGCTCTGCTTCGTGCAGCAGCCCCAGAGCGAGCTCTCCATGTCAACCCCTTCCTCTCCAGGAGAGCAGCGCCGGATGAAGCTCAGTGTCCCACTGAAGCAGGCACCACGCTGGGGGTGGGTTCCTTTGTGTTCAGTGGTGAACACGGGATGAACGGAGCAATCTGAGGGTGGTTTCTGGAGAACAAAGCGCCTGCTTTTTGTGGGCATCGTTTTGAGCTCTTGCTCTTTGATCCCCCTGAAAATACAGCCTTTAACAGAAAGGTTTGTACTGTCAATACGCAGTAACGTGCTCATTTCCCATACGCTCATCCCAGGGACATCCAGGATTTACAGATGTCCTCTCCGTACCCTGGTGTAGGTGTTTTGGAGTGCACAGGCTGCTGTGGGTCACATTCAGCAATCACCAGCATAGGAGCTCTGACATTGTTCTTTCAGCTCAAATACATTCACTTGGGCAGCCCTTGGTTTGTGAGGGTGAGGGGGTGAGCTCCCAGCTGGGCAGTTGGGGGGGGGTTAGAAACCATGGATGAGGTGAAGGAGCTGTTGCAGTTTGGGCTCTCTGTGGTGTGCTGACCAAGAGACCTGCTTGGTAGAGTCATTCTTCTGCCCACAGAGAAACAGTTCAAAGGTTCGTGTGCTTCAGGGATCAGCAAAATTCCTGACCCTTGCCTTGGGAGCTTGTGCCTCTAGAAGAGCCTTCGGATTGCTGTCAAGGTGCCAGGCACTGGAGGCATACGCTGGTCCCAGCTGAGCTCCACTGGCAGCAAACAGGGGTGCAGTGTGAGCTGTGCCAGTTGACAGGGCTCTCATGCATGGATTTGGCTTCTTTTGTGATTTTTAACACTATTTCACCATTCACCTGGAGGAAAACTCTTCTGAGGATGGAGACTTCCAGAGCAGTAACTGGACAGTGTGTGGTGATCCTCGGTACACACACTGAACAGCACGGCCGTGAGCAAATCAATCCTACGGGATGGAGCTTAATGAAAAGTCAATACAGGAGGAAGCAGGAGAGGAAGAAACAGTGTTTGTATTTCATCACCAGCAAATTAATGTGTTCTATAACTGCATCACTTTGGGTACAGCAACTACAGCACTCACCTCCATAATTGTTCTACGAGGAGGAACCGAGCATCTCCTGATGAACAGCAAAACATTCCTCTGATGAAAGCAAGTGTAGATCAGTGCCCCTCTGAGCCCCACTGCAGCTTTGGGGGTATTTGTGCTGATGGGGGTCCAGCAGTGCTAGAAGTTGGGCCCACCTGGCCTAATTTTAATCCTCTGCAAGTGAGGTTAGTGAAGCCTCGGCAGCATTCCTTGGCTTTGGCCACAGCCAGTGAAGAGCACTTGCAGAAGGCAATTGCTGTCACCTTGAAATAGGTGTCCAGGAGGGTGGGAATGAGCCCCTGCTCTGCAGGTGCTGGTTTCCCTCTGTTAACTACAGACAGACACACCGCTCTGTCCAAGCCAGCCAAGCCTGGCTGAGACAGGGCACGTGAATCCTCATCCAGGGCCATTCAGGAGGGCGGATGCAGGATGGAAATTTGAAGCTAGGCGCCCTTGGCGCCAGGCTGGAGCTCTAATGATTGCTCCATCCCTCCCTTTCTAATCTGATCGGCAGGTAACTCCTGAGCCCAGTGGAAGCTTTCCTGCACAGATGAGGCTTTCTGCTTTTGGCAGCTCTCCCCCTTGGCATTCTCCTCCAGCAGTAAATCAGAGAGTGGCTGAGGGTGGAAGGACCTCTGGAGATCGTCTCGTCCAACCCCCCTGCCCATGTGCATCTGTGTCACTCTCAGCCCCAATACAAAAGCTCTTCTGTCTCCTGCAGAATTCAGAGATGCTGCCAAAAGTAACTTGGAAAAATGATTTTGGGGGAAGAGAAAAGTGACAACTGAGCGGGGCTGTGCCAGCAGCGGCTGAGGGGCAGGCTGTCCTGCAGCGTTGCAGGAGTCATGGAAGGGTTCAGTGGCAAGAGACCGCTAGTCCCAGAGGACAGTGCTCTGCCACTCCAGCTGGGATGAGGCTCCTTGCCTTCCAGGAGCCTGCTGAAGGGCTCTTCTTGCTGTTCACAGGTACTGCAGGAGGTGGAGGGGGACCCGGAGAGATTGGGGAACCGCTGAAGCCGCCGGTGCTCCGGCAGTATGATGCCTGGGGACGGTGTGTGGATCACATCGCCACCTGCTCAGCCTGGAGGAGGATGAAGCAGACTGCAGCAGAAGAGGGGCTGGTTGCTGAGGCCTGTGAGAGAAGATATTCCAACGAGGTAAGTGGGGAGAACGGGAACGACTTGATGGTATTCTCAGTGAGGTATCATCAGTTGTATAACAGGTACCAGATGATGCATGGACAAAAGCACACCTACTGCTGCACTGAACAGCAGTGTCTGTCTGCTGCAGTGTTCCACATCAGTGATGAGAAGCTGTCACTAATGGCCTACAGTTGCTCATAATATTCTTTGATGTCACTTGTCATCCTGGGGCCTGGCAGTCTGCACTGCCCCAACTTTACATGCATTAGTTGTATCACAGCTAAAGAGCTAGGATTTGACTTGAAGTTTTGCTGTGTTCCAGCCTCTGGAGACAGACCCACATTTCTTACTTTTAAAAGCTGCACTGGCATAAGGTGCCTCCCAGCCAGCCTTGCACTGGCTGTCCCTCTGGGACTGAGAAACTGCTGCTCTTCTTCTGGAGGAAGCAGGTTTTGCCCTCTTGGAAACGTGCAGTCTGATTCTCACCTGCTTTGGCTGTATTTTGTTCCTCTCTTCCCATCAAGATGTTTTATCCTCCTGCTGGGGCACTGCTGCCTAACCTGTCTGTTTCCCCTCACTCTCTTTCCTATAGCCGCCTGCATCAGGCTGCCAAACTCTACTTGTTCTCAAGCTCCTCTGGAGGATTCAACTGTCCACTGGCCATGACGGATGGGGCAGCCAAAGTCATTGAGGTATGAGCTCAGCTGGGCGCTGAGGGCACAGCCCATGTCCTGGCAGTGCTGGTTAGACTGAAGCACTGGCCAGGGATGGAGCAGGGCTCATCTGCCATCTGGCTCTGGGCACAGCCCTCCCTTGCTCTGGGACTCAGCTCCATCTCCTACTGCCTTTCTCCTTTAGTTACAGAGTCTTTGTGCCCAGCTTTTCTGTTTACCTACAGCACTGGGTACGATAAAGCCTTTGCTGCACATGTGGCACTGCAGGTAGCTGGGAAGGTGTCCCATGTGCTTATTGTGAGATAGTTTGTTTTCCTGTTCCTGGTGTGGAGCTGCAGTTCAATGTCTGGTCCAGATCCATACCTGATGTAAATAAACCAACCTAGCAAGACTTGTCACTGTCTGAAGATTTGCCTCTGCATCTTGGCAGCACCCTCTGCGCTGTGTCCATGCAGAGAAGAGCTAGCCCTGGTCATTTCCATTCAATAAAAGGTCAAAAGCATAATGCAGTGACCTCTTTCCTTCAGCTCTTTGGGTGCTGCTGACACCCAGTGTCTATGAACACATGCTGATACTGTTCTCAAAGCTCTCTGTCCAGATGTCTAGCACTGCAGAAACCCCAGGGATGGAACACAAGTGAGCACCTTCTGTGTGCACAGTGCTCCAGCAGCCATGCAGGAGCTGGGCAGGTTCAGGCTCTCAGCAGCAGGTGCAGATGTGCTGCAGTGCAGGACACTTGGTGTCCTGCTCCCCTGCTTGCAGACGATCCACTTGGAGCCTAGGACGTGAGTGGTTGTGAAAGCAACTGCCTAATTTCATCTACTGTGTTATCGTCATCCTAAATTCCTCTTCCTTCCCCCAAAACAGTCTCTGGGTATTCCTGGATCTCTGAGAAAGGCTTTTGGCCATCTGACATCCCGCGACCCGAGCAGTTCTGGACCTCTGGCCAGTGGATGACGGAGCGCAGGGGAGGCTCTGATGTTGGTATGTGTCCCGAGGTGGGAAGCAGCTGCAGCAGCAGCCAGATGTGTGAGCAAGGACTGAGAAAATGGGGAACTTACAAAGCCAGGTGGCTGGTTTGGGAAACCTGAGCAAAAGTCATCCAAATCCTCTGCATAGCTCTGCTTTTTAACCAGGAAAAGGCCCAATCTGCGTGCAGCACAGGCAGGTACAGAGCTGTGTTCCTTGCACAGATAACACACTCCTATCTAGCCCTATAATCTAAACCTTGAACCAGCCAGACCCATCCCAGCTGAGACTGAGAAAGCATTCTCGGCCTTCAGCTTTGAATGTTACCAATACTGTGATGGGCCAGGAAACCACAGGGGCATCAGCTGCATCCCCTGAAGCTGCAGTTGGTTCCCTGGTGAAGAAGTGAAAGGGTCAGCTGTGGAGTGAAAGGTGTGCATCATGGCAGGACTCCTGATTCCATAGCACCCTTTGTTGTACTGGGCTGTGGTAACTCCTAAAGACACGGAGGCATTGGATTATACACCCAGATGTGTTCTGCTTATAGAGCACTGCCATCACCAGCCCTTAGCCTGGAGCAGTTGCTGGAGAGCCTTGCAGTGAAGCAGATTTCCTTTCTAGTACTTAACTCTGGCTGCATTTCTTACCCAGGGTGGGTGAAAGAGATTAGCAGCTAATCCATACTCCACCTTGGTCGCAAGAGGTGACTTACAAGAGCTGCTGCTTAAACTGAAAATCAGCATTGGTTGATACAGGAGCTCCCATAAAGCCAGGGTCTTCTCCTTCCTTTCAGCTAACGGCACAGAGACAGTGGCCAGGACGCAGCCAGATGGAACATATCGTCTCTACGGTTTCAAATGGTTCACATCTGCAGCTGATTCTGATGTGACACTTACCCTGGCCAGGGAAGTGGATGCTGAAGGCCAGGTAAAGCAGTCCTGTTTGATGGTGGAGCCAGCTGAAGGAGCAGGGCCATTCTTCTTCCTTCTTTCATCGTAATGAAACCTTTTTGCATGCTTTTCCCATGGCTCCAGGGTTCCGGTGGCTTGTCCCTGTTCTTCCTCAAGGCTCGAGATGAGGAGGGGAAGCTCAACAACATCCAAGTGCAGAGGCTGAAGGACAAGTCAGGCACGTGGCAGATGGCAACAGCAGAGCTGTGGCTGGATGGAGCTAAAGCAGAGCTAGTAAGTAAAGTTCCACCTTCCTCTTGGGGCTGGGCTGGCTTGACAATGCAGAGCAGAGGACCCGGGGTGGGGTGGGGTTTGACAGTGATACCAGCTGGAAAAGTTCCTCTCCTCCACCTCTGAGGCTGGCTGCTCACCTCACAGAACGCTTCACCAATGGGGCTGTGTGGGGCAGAGCTGAAAAGAGCTCAAGAAAAGATGGGAGGGAAGGAAAAAGGAAACAAGTCATTTCAGGCTGGTCCTTTCCCTGCTCCTGTTGCACTGAGCCAGGCGAGGGACCATTCTGAGGGACCAGAACCGATCCTGCTGATGTGGTCTCCTGCCGCAGAAAAAATATGGACTCAGTCAGAGATCAGTATGATCAGACCAAAGCCATTTATTATAGAGTATCAGTCCTTTTTATACTGTTTCTCTGCCTCAGCTTACTCTATTATAATCAGATACATTTCCTTGTAATACACCACAACTATGGTTACATTTACAATAGCTCGCTGTATAATATTTGGATACATCATCAATAGCTCGCTGTAGTATAATTAGATACATGTTCAATAGCTTGTTGTATGATGATTGAATACTTATACAATAGCTCAGTATACTGTGCTGTGATACATATTCCTGCAGCACACGGCAACCAGTAACAATAAGCGTATGGGAACTTAACCTTGGAAATTTGCTAACAGTCCACTTTCTTCTTATCTTGCTTGCACTGCTACTTTTGCTACTGCTACTTTTGCTTCTTTACCCACGTCCTCCTTCACCCTCGGTTCACGTCGAGCTCCATGCAGGCACTTGCTGACTTGGGAACGTGGCCATTCTTTGCTAAAAATCCATCCACAGTCTCCAAAGCCACCTCTCTGGTCATGCTAAAATGAGATAGTGATGTTTGAAAGCAAGGAGATCTGTGTGATGCCTGAGGACAGACAGGGAGAGTGGACAGCCTGTATGTCTGGGACACAACTCTCACTGTGATAGGTGTCCACTCCCGAGGCTGTGCCTGCACAGCTTCCACCAGCCTTTGCTCCTTGATGCTTCCAGATCTCTGCAGAGGGCCGAGGAGTGGCCTCCATCTCCAACATGCTGAACATAACTCGGATCCACAACGCCATCGGTGCAGTAGCTTCCATGAGAAGGTGAAGGCAGCGTGGATCTCCCAAAACTGAAGGAGCAGCTTATCAGGACAAGGGGACTTTGCAGTGCTCAGCATTGCAGCTGATTGACCTTGCAGGCACAGGTCTGGAAGCCAGCAGTGCTGGAGGAGGTTGGCCTGTGGGTGGCTGACCGAGGCTGGCGTGGTGCAGCTGAGCAGGGTTCTTCTAGAGGGGGAGGCTGGGTGGGAGAGCTCACAAGCGGGAGGTTGCTGGTCTGACTGCTTCCCCTGGCTGTGTGCTCTCCAGGCTGCTCAGTCTGAGCAGGGAGTGTGCCCGCAGGAGGGTTGCCCTTGGGAAGCTCCTCAAGGACCATCCCCTACACATACAGAGGCTAGCACGGATGGAGGTAAGGCCCTGGGGAGCTGAGCTGAACCTGTGGTGAGGAGAGAGGGCAGAGATCCTCAGCTGTAGTGAGCACAGGCAGCTGCCTCCACGTGCTGCAGTCAGGCTGCTCCTGCTACAGTGAGGGGAATCGCCATGTTCTAGTGGGATTTGATGTGATGATGGACCTAGCTTCTCTGCTGGACTTCATGCTACCCTAACCTAATCCTGAGAGGAGTGCCAAGGTTCATGCATGCACCTACTGTGATATGCCATGAGCTCTGAAGTTGGTCGTTAGCATCGGAGCCTAAGGATGACACCACAGTCTCCTCCAAGAGTGACACAGACTCATCCAGGTTCCCTGGTAGCTCATGCACCAGGAGAGGGGCTGTTCCCAGCAGGCTCAAAGAATTCCTGAGCAGTGACCACGCACTTCAGCTTCCGAGAAGTTTGTCTTCACTGTGTCCCCGCACAGGGCTCAGCACCACAAGGCACCGAGCCTGAGCGCAGCCTCTCGGTGTGGATGTCACCTAAGGCAGTACCAGACAGGGGAAGGGAGCGCAGCGGGAGCTGGCACTGGCTCTGGGAGGAATTTCACATGTGGGCCTTACCTCAGTGCAGAACATCCTGCAGCTTTGCACGGTGCTGAGCTGTAGCTGCTCACTGAATCAGGGGACACCACTTCCCACCCCTGCTAAAGCTTCGGCAAGAAGGCACACAGGCACGCAGCCCTCCTCCTCTCACCCCTCCAGGCACTACTGCTCCCCAGTGCTGTAACACCAACCCCTGGGCTGCAGTAGGTTGATGCAGATGTGTCCAACAGCATTTAAAACTCCTCTTGCAAGGTGGGGAAGAGGGAAGTGGTCAGCACCTGACATAACTTACAGCTCCAGCAGGTCTTAGCCTGTGGCCAGAACTGCACCTCTGAAAGAAAGACCAGATCCCATATAGTTCCATGGCTACAGAGCTTCATATCCCAGTGCTTCCCAAATCACAACCGGCCAGGGAAGTTGCTTAGCAAACAACCTGTGAGAGACTTGCAGATCTCGGTGCTCAGAGGTTGGCCATCAGATGTGTGGTCTTATGTCCCTTTCCCTTGGGAATGATGTGGATTTGTGCCCTGGGTGCCTGATGGGAGCTTTGATAAGGCTCCAGGTGGGCCTGAGAAATGGCACATTCCCTTTCCTCATACTAGAGTGCAGTATCCAAGAGCAGCAGCCCCAAGCTGCCTTTAATATCTCATGCTTTGTGCCTTGCCTGGTCAGTGCTCTTTGCCTCTGGAGCTGTGGGTCTGCGTGGGTGGCACTTTGCCCATGTCCAAGTATTGCACATCCCTTTGAGACGGTCTCACAGCACCACAATGGGCCAGGCTGGAGTGAGCCCGAGTCAAAGATCCTTCCCAGTGAAGCTCGCACTTCTCTGCCTGCAGGTGCAGACACGAGGGGCATTCCTGCTCCTTATGGACATCGTTCCTCTGCTTGGACTTGCAGAAACCAACATGGCAAGTGAGCAAGACCAGCTCCTCCTGAGAGTGCTGGTACCAGCTGCCAAACTGCACTGGGAAGCAGGTATGGAGTGACCAGTTTGATGAGGAGGGGGGCTTTGGACAAGGGCCTGCAGGGACAGGCCAAGGGGAATGGCTTTAACCTGCCAGAGGTGAGACTGAGCTGAGCTCTGAGGCAGAAGCTCTTCCCTGTGAGGGTGCTGAGGCGCTGGCACAGGGTGCCCAGAGAAGCTGTGGCTGCCCCATCCCTGGCAGTGTTCAAGGCCAGGTTGGACACAGGGGCTTGGAGCAAGCTGCTCTAGTGGAAGGGGTCCCTGCCTGTGGAGCTGGAGGAGCTTTAAGGTCCCTTCAAACCAGGCTGGGATTCTGTGATTAACCTGGAGCAGGGCTTGTGAGCAAGCAGAGGTAGAAAGGGGAGTGGTGGACACAAGAGGATGGGCAGTGATGGCAGGAGATACCAGCAACGGCCACGAGCTGCAGGCCTGCAGCAGTTACTGCTCTGCACTGAGGTTGGACAAGCAGCAGGCTTGTCCCTTTGCTCTGAAGGCCACAGATCAGCCACCTGATCAGAGCAGCCACAGAACACTGTCAGGACTGCACAGGCCACAGGGGAATGGTGCTAAGGCTGCTGTAAGACCAAGAGGGGGCAGTGAGCCAAGGGGAATATCTGCCCTCTAACTGGGAATAAATAGATGAGAACAGCTTAGCATCAGCCTTTAACTTCAGGGGTCTGCCCCTGTTCTAATTGCCCTCAGCTTAAACACAAATAGGCAAGTAGAAAACAAAGACTCCTGGACTGGAGACATACAGGTACCAAGGAAACCACAGGTTTAGCCTTAGCTGGAGAGGGCTGTACTGAGACAGGATCTCTCTGGATGTCTCCCGAGGTCTGACTGCTCCTGCCCATCCTCTCAGTGTTACTCAGCCTTCACTCCCGAGCTCCTCCTCCTGCATCTGCTTCAGCACATCAGCGGGATCCAGTCAGTGCCATCCCAGCAGAACTGCTGTGTGCCGTGAGAGCTTTCTGGTTGCTCTTTCCCCATCTGCAGCAGGGATCATGTCAGCTCTCTGCAGTTTGCAGGCTTCTGCTGTGGTTATTGAGGCAGTGGAGAGTTTTGGAGGACAAGGTTCCATGGAGGATGCAGGCTTGCCACATAGGCCGTGATGCTCTGCTAAGAAGGCAACAGGAGAAGCTCCCGTGTGCCTCCTACTCCCCTGCCCAGGACAGTGTGGCTGCCCCTGAAGACGTGCTCAAGGGAGAACCCGTTCCTCCAGGTGGGGCAGCAATTCCCTGCTGCCTTCCTGCTGAGCTCAGCCATCCCCAGGGAGGGGATGTGGCTTCTTCCTGCTGCTGGGGTTGTCTCCCAGCTCCCACCACCACTGCCCCTTTCCGCTTGTGCTGAGGCATCCCTGGAGATTCCCTTGGCACCTCTTAGCTCTGCCCCATGTCTTTGGCTCCTCACATTCCCCTTTCTTTACTGCAGTGGCTCCAAGTGGCTCCTTCACGCCCTTCCACCCGCAGGTGCTGTCCATATGGGAGGGAACAACGAGCATCCTGTCCCTCGATGTGCTGCGATCCCTCAGCAAGAGCCAAGGGCAGGCGCTGGCCGCGTTCCTCTCCTCAGTGCAGGTGAGCTCAGCCTCATGTGCCTGCGGTGGCGGAGCCCTCTTTGGGGTTCCTGCTCCTGCTGAGGCTGGCAGGGGACGTGCCCAGGGTGAAAGCTTTAGATGGGTGTTGAGGAGGCGTCCTCCCATCCTGCTCTGGGCATAGCACTGACGAAGCGGAGCTCAGGCAGTGCTTGGTTGGGATCCATGTGCTGCAGAAAGCACAGGGCCTTCCACTCAGCAGTGAAGAGGTTTTGCGTTGCGAGGGCTCCTCGTGACCGGTACCTCTGTAAATGTGCTTTTACTGTGGAGGAGTCACCCTCCTGACCCCAAAATCATTCTGTGGTTTTGCTTCTTCACTGGAAAACCACCCCAACACTGCTTGGGCCCGGCTAGTGAAGCTTCAGCAGGGCTACCCACTGCGTCACTTTGATTCCCACTGAAAGGATGGAGGAAGCCAATGCAGTTCCATTGCTGCCTCTTTAGATCTGCTGTTCTCTGGCTTTACCTACTGGCTGCTCTGCCAGAGGTGCAGTGCTGGCAGTTGTTCAGGTTTCCAAAGCACAGGAGCAAGGGGCTGTTGGTAAAGAGCATCTGGGTCTGACACTGAAATGGAGGAGGAAGGTGGGCTCTAAAGTAGTTTGGAAAGGCACCAGCCTGCACAGTCTTACCCGTACACTACTCTGAACCAATCCCCCTACTCAGTCCTCAGAGCACCTCCCTGGGGTAGCTGAGGGGGTCCCTCCAGCTTAATGGAAGCATTAAAGAACACAGCAGTGGGATCCAGAGCAGGCACCTGCACAGCAGTAACCCCGAGGACTGCGATGTCTTCATTAGCAAGCTCCTCATTGCTCTCCCACGAGCCACGCTGTGGATGGTACTGGAGGTAACAAGTGAGCACTGACTTGAGAGGTCTCCACATCCCAGTAAGTGCCACTGCATCTGCTGCTGCTCTTGGCTGCCTCCACTTCCATGGGGGGTGCCTGGGACAGGCTGAGCTGGGAGCAGTGCTGCTGCACTGGGTCTGGGTAGCACATTCACCCTGCACAGGTCACAGCTTCTCCCTCCCACCACGGGCAGCCGGGCCCTGAAGGGCAGAGCAGGGGGGATTCCTGCAGGGTGCATCCGTGCTGCATCGGGCAGGAAGGTGCTGAGCTCCTACAGCAGCATCAGGGCTTCACTCACAGGAGATGAACAACCTCTCACTGAGCTCCAGGTGTTCAGGCTCTCGGGGTCTGTGCGAGTCTGGCTCATCGGAAGCACCTTTCCCACTCCTCTCTAGTGAGGACATCATTTGGCCCTGCATAAAGGGATTTTTACTGTCCCAATCCATTTCCTTTTTATTGGTGCCCATGAAATGAGTACACTTTATTTTACAGTTGCCCATCAAGGTTCTCAGTGTGCAGGATCTGTGCCCATGACAGGCTCTGGAGGAAGCAGCATTCGTACTTAGTACAAACCAGCACTTGGTTCCTTGAGGGTCACTACCTCGGGGTAACGTCCCCCTGACCCTGCTGTCACCTACTTGTGCTTCTATCCTGTGCCAGTTGCCATTAATCACAGTGCAATATCTATCCAGTGCTGTCATCTGGGAGCAGGACCCCATGTCCCAGTTACCCTCAAGAACAGGGGGGTGCAGAGAACTTCCCCATCCCCACACCAGACAATGGATTTTAGGGGTTGTGATGCACTTGGAAGTTTGTTACAAACAGGTCATTGGTCTGCAGAGCCTCTGGAGAACACACGGTGAGAAGAGTGAGTGTGAGAGGGCAGCCCTGGGAGCCAGCTCAGCCCCGGTGGGAGCTCCAGGTGGATACAGCCCAGGGGAGACTCATAGAGCCCAGCCTGGTTTGGGTTGGAAGGGACCTACAGCAACAGCGGCTCCCCCATCCCTGGCAGTGTTCAAGGCCAGGTTGGACACAGGGGCTTGGAGCAAGCTGCTCTAGTGGAAGGTGCTGGAGCTGGAGGAGCTTTAAGGTCCCTTCAACCCAAACCAGGCTGGGGTTCTGTGATTAGCCCGGAATGGGACTCTGGCACATGAGCAAGCACAGAGCTGGACAGGGCAGTGATGAGCAGTCACATTAACGGCTACAGCCCAGCAGGGTTCATCCAGGCAGCCGTGTCCAAAGAGCAGCTGGTTCAGACTCCCAGCAGGGTATCCCCTGTGCTTTCACGTGATACTGGGGCACTGGAGGAGCAGCAGCTGACCTTGACCAGGAGAGCTTTGAGCTCGATGCCTGACATCCATCGGAAGAGAGCCCCTCTGGGCCTGGGGCCTGTCCCACTGACACCACTTACAGGGAAAAGCTCCTTCCAATCTGACTGTTCCTGCCTGGACACGGCTCTGGCGCCTGTGCGGAAGTAAGAACGTAAAACCAGGAGAACCAGAACCTGGTGCAGGTCCACAGCGAGAACTGGGGTGGGGTCTGGTCCCCACACACAGCTGGGAATCCAGCGCAGGAGCAGCATCACGAGGGCTCTGGCACACAGGAGTTCCCCATGCTCAGAGCCCGGCTGTGAGCTTCCCTTTGGCAACGCGATCCCAGCGGCCCCTTCCCGTGCAGGAGGTGAACACGCTGTGCTGCTTCCTCCCATTGTTCTCCCGACAGAGAAAACTGGATCTGGCTTCGAGCACCGGGGGCCTGGAGCCCGCTGTGGGGCAGACATGGGCTGCACTGGGGAGACGGGAGCAGTTCCTGCGAGCAGCTGCTCCCAAGGGGGCACTGCCCATGGAGCTGGCAGCAAGAGACTTCTCCTACACCCTGGTGAGGATGTACACAGGTGGGGGAAAGGGAAGTGATGGATTTCAGAGCGGGACGGGGCTGGGGAGCCGGCCTGGCATGGCCGGGATTCACATCTGTGGGGTAAAGGGTGGTGTGGAAGGAAGCTGGGTGCCCCCCTTCTTGCAAACGGAGGCAGCTCAGCCTGGCCAGCGCTGCTGGTGTAACCCCCTGCTGCTCCCGAGGGAGCCGGGAATACCGGTGTCTCCTCTGCTTCCACAGGAGCACGCAGCTCGGCCTGATGCTTCCTCCACAGACATCCCCGCTGCTCGAAGGTGAGTGAAACCCTCCTCAGCTCTGGCCTAGGGATTCCTGGGCCATGCAGCTTTGCTCTGCCCCTGTGAGCGGTCTGACCCCTCACCCAGCTTTGTATGGTCACAAATGGGGCAAGCAGCGTTCTGGGCTGGTTCCTGTTAACACACCACGGGCAGCGGGGAGAGGGATGCAAGCGGGGCAGCCCTCGTGGCGAGAGCAGCGCTGGCTGCGCCCCGGGGCTGGGACAACCCTCGCGTGCCCTCTGTGCAGGCAGGAGCTGGTCCTGTGCCCTCTGTGCAGGCAGGAGCTGGTCCTGTGCCCTCTGTGCAGGCAGGAGCTGTGTCCTGTGCCCTCTGTGCAGGCGGTGCAGGCAGGAGCTGTGTCCTGTGCCCTCTGTGCAGGCAGGAGCTGTGTCCTGTGCCCTCTGTGCAGGCAGGAGCTGGTCCTGTGCCCTCTGTGCAGGCAGGAGCTGGTCCTGTGCCCTCTGTGCAGGCAGGAGCTGTGTCCTGTGCCCTCTGTGCAGGCAGGAGCTGGTCCTCTGCCCTCTGTGCAGGCGGTGCAGGCAGGAGCTGTGTCCCATGGCCGTGGAGCTGGACAATGGCAGCTACGAGGCGGAGGCCGCGCTGGTGGACGGGGGCAGCCCTGCCTGCAGCAGCCGGCTCTGACCTCCTGGAGGTCCGGCTCCGGAGCCCAAATCCCGGGGCACGGTGGGGATGTGGCACCAGCGGCCGGGCCAGGCCCAACCTGCTCCAGTGCGACCGCTGCTGCGTGCCATCATCTGCTGCCACCGCCACAGCCTCGGGGTCAGTGAGGCACGGCCATGGGCTTACCGTGACTTGAAGCAGCCGCCCTGCAGGTACCGAGCGGTGTTCTTTGTAGTGACAGAAGCCAAGCTGAAAGTTAGCTGAAGCTGATTAAACACAGAAACCCGCCCATTGCCCCTGTTCACCTCCTTGCTGCCCATTGCCGCGCACCACCGCCCACCCTGGCGCTTGCTGGGGTGGGTTTGATGCGGGGGCCGCATCCCTTCACACAAGCAGCCTCTCAGCAGCGGGTCCTGAGGGAACGTTGGGTTAAACCAGAGCATTTGTAACCCAAACGTCCTGGTTTCGGGGTCAGGGCTGCCCCGGAGCAGGGCGGACACTGGGCACTGCACAGCCCGGGGCCTCCTCTGGATCATTGCTTTTACGTTCTGCTTTGTCTCACACGAGCTTTGCTTTCACTCTGAACCAGCCTGGAGCAGGAGCTTTACCTTCATGTGCATGGTTTGGGTGCCTCACCCCGTGCTCAGCTGAGGAGGGCCAGAGGAACGCCCTCACCTTCCTGCATGTCCCACACAGATACAGTCAATGGTCAGTGCCCACATGGGCACTGCTGTGCGGAGCTGAGCTGGGGAGGAGGTGGCTTCAGTCACATCCCTCCAGTGCCATCAGAACCGTGGGAGCTGGTACCAGAACTGGTACAAACGGGCAGGTTGGACACAGGGGCTTGGAGCAAGCTGCTCCAGTGGAAGGGGTCCCTGCCCGGGGCTGGAGGAGCTTTAAGGTCCCTTCAACCCAAACCAGGCTGGGATTCTGACATGAATTCTGCCTTATGTTTTAGACTGAAACCCTGTGATCCCGCACCAAAGCAAACGCATCCATCGTGACTGTGTCACCCTCAGCCCATCCTTCTTCCTGCCTGGTGTTACCCTGATGACCAAAAGATCTTCCTTCAGGAGGTGCTAAGAACAGAAGACAGACACGAATGAGCCAAGGGTCTGTTCTCATCCCGATGGGGTCACCTCACCCCTTCCCGATGGAGCTCTCATGGATTTCTGAACACCAGGATTAAGTTTTCCTAGCATACGAGCTATGATTTGCCTAAACTTCAGCCCCACGGATGGGGAGCCCAGCGGAAGCTCCGGTACAGCCCCGAGGGGCTGTAAAGCTGTCACCAGGTAGGGAAATGACAGCTTTATGAAGATGTGAATACTCACTCTGAGGCTGCAGCAGAATAAACGCTGGTACCAACAAGCACCAGGGCCTAACGCTTCGTGCTGCTGCTGAACAGCTCCTGCTCCCCGGGTTTGGAAGATTCAATGTGCTTGAAGTCATTAACCAAGGCTCCAGCTGTCATCGGGATACACCTGAACCCCCGGTAAAGCACAAGCAGATGCTGCCACTGCAGAGAGCTCACTGAGCAGTGGGACTAGGGGAAACTGCCTTAAAAAGGTGGTTGTTAAACAGCAGGATAAAACTTGGGCAGCATTTGAAGAGGTGAAAGTCTGAGGAATGGGGTGATCTGAAATCCCCAAATGCAACGACCTGAGCTGGTGCCGGTGCTGTGAGTGCCAAGGGAAGGATGTGGTTGTTACTGCTCTGCCTGGAGTAACTGCTCCTCACTGTGCCCATGGGGTGCAGGGGCAGCAGCACGGACGGGTGCTGGGGTGCAAGGTGATGCTTCTCCCTCTGCACCCGGCGCTGGTGGAGCCCCTCTGTAACAGAGCACCCGAGCGGGACTGCTCAGTATCCCCGGGCTCCTCCTCGGCCCTGCTCTGGGCCCAGGCACCTCTCACCTTCCTCATGCTCCAGACCAGCCCCAGGCACTGCTTTTACTCTTTAAGCACAGCAGGGATCTCCATGGAGCACAGGAGCCTGCGATGGAAGTGCCTAAGGGCTGTGTCCAGGCGGAGCGGATCCTGCTCCCCAGCACACATGGAAGCTCCGGCCTCCCCTTGGCACTGCTGAGCGGCTCCTTCAGGTACAGCCCAGCCCAGCCCAGCGCCTCCCAGCTCAGCCTGGACCCGGCTGCCCCAAAGGCTCACACTGGGTAACCAGGGCCCTGTCAGGGGATGGTTACAGAGCGAGCACGGAACATCCGCACCCCCTGCCAAGGGAGCTCGGGATCAGCTGCCCTGCACAGGGCTTTTGTCCTTTGCAGCCTCCCAAGGGCTCAAACCCCCTCCAAATGCAGCTCCATTCCCTTCCACCCCCCCCAACAGCCCCTCTGGGGCAGAGGAGCGGTTCCTGACACCCCCTTCCCTTCCCCACCCAAGAGCTGTTGGTTTCCACCCTACACCACGGGTGCTCACCCCTGCAATGAAGCTGGTTCTGCTAACGGCTGCGGGTGCACAAACACTGCCCCATCGCTGGCCGTGTCCAAGGCCAGGTTGGACACAGGGGCTTGGAGCAAGCTGCTCTAGTGGAAGGTGTCCCTGCCCGTGGCAGGGGTTGGAGCTGGAGGAGCTGCAAGGTCCCTCCCAACCCAAACCAGGCTGGGATTCTGCGTGTGAGACTCCGTCCATCCACCTCCATGCAAGGACATGCAGGGACACCGCACACTGAGCTGACAGCAGCGCTCTCCTCCGAGGCTCTGCTGCTGTTTGAGAGCTGTGCTGAGCGGAAGGAGGTTCACCTGAAGAGCTGATCCCCAGGCCATGAGCTCCCCCAGCAGAGCCCATGGGCACAGCGCCGTGTCCGGGGCTGGGAGTACCGGTGGGGACACAACAGATCCAGCCACTGCACCAGAGAGACTGAGGGTAACTCGGGTGTGAAAGGAGCAACAGGAAAATCAAACCCTGTGGTTCCTCTGCACGTTCTTAACAGTGCAAAACATCAGACCTGCTTTTTGTCCCTGCAGGGGGAAAGGGGAGCTCAGCTGCGCCCACAGCTCTGCCCAGCACCTACAGGTTTAATGGGTTAAATAAACCCCGTGGGATTATAAAGGGCTCATGTGTGCTCGGAGCAGGCCCAGCCCAAAGCAACTCACAGCTGCCAGAGACCCGGGAGCAAATCCTTCTCCAGGTGAGACAAGAGGGAAGCGGTAGGAGCCAGGGCGATGGAGCACTGTGGCCAAGCAGGAGCATCCCCTCTCCTGTGGGGACTGCAGGATGAGGAGCAGTTTTCCACCCTCTGGGAAGAGATCAGAAGTTATTAAACCTGAGCCTGGTTTGGTCCCCACCAGCTGCAGCTCCCCCGTTCAGCACAGAGAAAGGCAAAAGGGGCTGCGAGGCTCTGACCAGCTCCCGTGTGGCGAGGGGAAGGGAGACCTGGAGCTCCCTGCTGATCCCGACTGCTCCCGCATTCCGGCCCACGGCTTCAGATCAGCGCTTTGGAACGAGAGGGTTGCCAAGGGGAAAAGGAAAGAGCAGGTGCTGAGGAAGACAAGGCCCTCGCGCAGCTCCCACCTTGGGCTGTGCTGCTGGCACCCGGGCTTGGGGCTTTTCCCATCCCTGGGACACCTGCACCAAGACACCCAACGGGAAAGGGAGCACCGGGAGAGCTGCAGCCTCCTTGGGCAAAGGCCTTGGTGGTTCTGCGAACCTCACACCAGCTCCTGGCAAGGGCAGGGAAGAACGGTAAGAAAGGAGGAAGGGGTCGGCGACGGCTGCCATGCAAAAGGCTAAACTTTATTCACTTTTATTTATATATTTAACAAGTCTAAAGTATTTACTTCTGGCTTTGACAAAAATGAAAAATAGAGGAGCACTTTCCTGGCGGGAGGAGCGGGGGCTCTGTACAGCTCCGGGGCCTCCTTTACATACAAAGAAAAATAATAGTAATAAAAAAAGTGCTTCATCCATCAAAAAAGGACTAAAGAGCTGCAAGCATTTATTCACACTGTACATCGCAGACCCGCACCCGTATCGGAACCTCTTGGCACCTGGCATTAGAACTGCACAACCTGGGTTCTGGCTGGTTTCACCCCAAAGCTGCCCCACGGCTCCCAGAGGCAGACCTCAAAGCATCCCCCCCCCCGCTGCACTCGGAGCCACTGCCCGGCCCCGTGCTGGCTCAGGAACAAACACCTCCAGATCCACGCGCCTGCAGAACCCGTCTTTATCCGTGCTCTGCCCTCCTGATGGGCTGAGCCACGTTTCGGAGCCATGCTAGGGGAGAGCCCAAGGTGCTTCCTCACCGGAGCCCCTTCCCACGTGGATGCAGGCTGCCCGCCTGCACCAGCCCCTGCTTCTCCTGTGCATCTCCAGCTTGCACGGCAGCAGCGCAACGATGCTCACCGAAGGGGCAAGCTCTGGAACACCCCGACATTCCCCATCAGACCTAACGGATACTCTGAGATGGTTTTCTCTGTGCGATATTTGCTGTGGATTATGGGATTCCGACATTCCAAGCGCTCCCTTCCCAAGGCTTCTGAGCTTTTGTATCTAGCACTCCCAAATACTCCAGCAGGATTCTTGAGAGTACCACGAGAAGCTGGAACTGTGTCCAGGCAGCACACTGCGAAGCGGGATCTACGCTTCTTCCTTGCCAGATTGCACTACGCAGGCTCTATCCAAAGGGAACAGGAGGAGCTCCCCGCACTCATTTAGAAAGGGATAGTCAGGAGATTCACACTTCAGTGAGGTGACTTGAAAAGTGACTTGGCCTGGGGCAGAAGGGAGGAGGGGAATCCATGCTGTATTTCCAGGCTTTGTAAACCCTCAGGCGGGTTTTTCCCTATCGGGAGTCTATTGGATACAGATTGCAAAGGAGGAGACGAGCACCAGGGCGCTGCCTCACCGCTGCTCTGCTCCTCTGGGGACAGCCTTGGACCCGGCTCCGGACCAGAGCACGGTGGTGCCGGTGTGAGCCAGGACCAGAGCCCTGCCCCGGAGCAGCTCCACACCCAGTAACCCCCCCACAGCCGGGGCAGGGGGGACTCGGAGGTCTCCTACTCCCCGCTTGGGTTTCAGTAATGG